CTGAAGATCACTTCCCACGGCACAGGGGGCCAAACAGACGTGTGGGGCGTAAGAGCAGCCCCAGCTCACAGCCCTGTGGCTTGGTGCGCACCCACATTCAGCAGCAGCATGAGCTGGTGGCCCCACAACTGCATTAACCCAGAGGCATGAAAGTGTGTTCTCATCTGTTGTCCTCATTACCAGGGTAATTATCTCCATCAAAGGCACAAGGCTTGCAGCCAGGAGGGTCACATAACTACAACACTGTAAATATGTCTGAGATAATTTACCTATGAACCTCCTGTCAAAAGCAAGAGCAGGAAAAGAAATTCTAGTACAAAAAGTTCAGGAATTCATCTGAGCTCCTAAGCTGTATTATGCATGTCTGCTCAGTCTTCTGGAAAAACCCAGCCAAATTCGTCGCTGTGAGCACCTTGCAATAGTAAGCCAGGCTGAAATCTTGCACCATGGTGCCACTACAGGTCATACACAAGGAAAACCACATACCAAGCCAATACCACAATAAATCTCCACCAGGGTACTTGAGTAAAGGTGAAATGGGAGGTGAGATGCATGGGGGTCAGCTCGCACTATGCCACATAAGGAGTGCTCAGTGGCAGGATGCCAGGTGTGTCCCAAATTTACCCCTCAGGAAGTAGGATCATACTAGAGAAGCCAGCTTTCAGCGAGAGCTGTACATTCAGTGCTAGGTTCAGTTGAGAGCTCAGTATCAGCCACAGCATCAAGTTCAAATCACAGGTCTACGAGATCTTACAGTGCTTTGATTGCTTACAAAAGCCAAAGACTTGCCTTTTTCAGAGCAGTTGCCTGAAAAATTTAGAACTGTCTAGAGAGAAACTTCAGTCAAAGTCCTGCTTCCAGGCACCTTCATGCTAGCTGTAAATATGTTGCACCCCAAGCCCTTCTCACTAGATACACAGAGACACAAAAGATGCCCTTTCCCCCTTTATAAGCAGATTTTCACTGATAAACCTCAAAGTGTTTGCAAAATTTCCAGCAATGCTTTAAGTGTTGGTAATATATCAAAGCTGAACTGGAAAAGCAAAACTCTGCAACCAGTTGAAGAGTTTCTAGCTTTAATTATGGAAGAGGGAGCAGATTGAAGGGAGTGGGTGGAGGGAAGTCTGGGAACATACAGTACTGTGTGCTATGAAATGTTGCGGGGAAGTGGAATGCTGAAGGGCAGCCCCACGTATTTGAGAGATTTAACGGTAAATGTTATTGCTTTGCACATGTGAAAGACATAACATGTATTTTTTTCAGTCTAACCAGCTCACTTCAGATTGAGGCAAACAAGGAAGAATAAGTATTAAACCTCCATAGGAGACACACAGTGACTCACAGTTGTGCATCTGAGATGAAACACAAAAATGGCAATTGCCTCGAGTTGCCTTTGCCACACGAGGGACTCCTCAACATTTAAAGAAAGAGGGGTATGGCACACTACCTTCATTCATAGCACACAGCTGAATTTACAGACATCTTGACTTATTAAATGGTTAAAACCCACTATTTTCTTTAATTTCCTTTTAGCACCAACCTTTCTGCCTACATGTTTTGGAATCCAGACTCCCTGGCACCACAGCTTTAGCGACACAGCCATCCTTTCAATTGATATCAGCAGGAGGCCCCCACATACACCACAATATCTAAGATGCTGGATTGCAAAGTCATAGCCTGAATTTCCACAGGGAGATGGTCAGGAAATTAATTGGCGTTTCTTTTTGCCAGTGGAAAAGTCTACATTTCTCAGCAACAGAGTGACAACACAAAATCCAAGTGCTCTAATTCACAAACTTTGCTGTAATTTCTCATGTGAGTGCTTTCACACTCTTCCTCTCTGGGGACCACATAACAGTTCTTTGGATACACCAGTCCCTATGATGCATCAACTAGCGGTGCAGTAGCAGACACCCATGGCTGCAATACAGCATGAAATATGTCATCTGGCAAAAGAGCTCAACCTATAGGAAAACAAAACAAACAAACAAAACCCCAGCATGCAAAACAAAACACCACAAAACAGGCATGAGACATCATAAAACAACCCTGACGTCAGGTTCAGTGTAATAAGCCCATGCTTTCCAGAGAAGTTTGGTTTCATGAACATGCCCTTTCCATCCAGTTATCAATTTGAAAAAGAAATATTTTGAACTAAAAATTCAACTTCTAGCCCTAATACCATTATTTAATTTGTTGATTAAAGCACAGCCTAGTCTCTTTGAAAAGAAAAGAGCATCGTACATGTTTCAGAGCCAGTTTTGACCATAGCTCCCTCTGGAAATGACAGAGCTGACAATTTTAGTCGTTTGACAACCACCACTGTTTGCAGGCATCAATGCCCAAGTTGCTCTGAATCTGAGCAGCTGCTTCCTGAGTCTTATCATCACACCACACACAAAACAGAAATGAGAGGGGCTCTTGCAGAAGTCCAGAGGAAAGCGGAAACCAAGCCCTGAGAGATGGTAGAGACCAGAGGGGAAGCAGGCGTAACGGTCCGGGAGAAAAGAGAAGTTTGACACGCTTTCCAGCTGGAGCAGGAAACTGCTCTCCTGCCCGATTGCAACAGCTTCTGAAGCTGCAATAACAAAGCAACAACTGACAGGAACATGGACAGGGAGGGAAGACAACCCTCTGACTCTTGTAACACTTGACTAGGTGATTGATAAACAACTCTAGGCAACCACTTTATGTCCCAAGCAGATCATGCAACTGCAGAGGCTGCTTTAGTGGTGTGAAGGACAAAACCCAGCATGGGGACACTGAGCTGTAGGAAATACCAACTGTTATCTCCCTCCTTTAAAAGGTTATTTCAATTTATCAGAATTTAGGACTTGGGAGCTCCTTTTGGACCACATTGACAATCCCTGTGCTGCAGGGCCTGGTTTTGCCAGAGCCCCCAACTCCTCCCAGCACTTTCGTTCATTCCATGCTCCCGTCTAAACAATCAGGCTTTGGTCACCAAGGCTTGCTCTCTGCCAGCTGCTACAGCTGTGGGGCACTGCTGCACAAATAGGGTCAGACTATGGAGACGCTAGCTCAGCCTCACAGAGGACACTCACAACACAAGTTTTGCCACAGAATCAAAGGAAAATTCTCCCAACCCATTATTTTCAATTCAGTGAGAAGATTACCTCAAGCAGCAATAACTTAGAAACAGAATTCGATTCCCAAGTCTATATTTTGTCACCACCAGCTCTATGCAAACCAGGGAGCCTACGGCTGCTTCTGCGTGTGCTGCAGTTGCTTCTCTGGTTTCCACAGAGAAGGAAGGTGGATGCACAGGCTGGGTGGAAACACACCATGAGGGACACACCTATGCCAAAGGCAAGCCATGAGGCTCAAGATTATATGCTGCTGACCCGGCCACATCTTTCACCTCCATCCATGGCTCTAGAAAACACTTGTTATTGGTTGCAGCAGCTGTCAGCTGTTGCTGCCGGCTGTCACCAGAGGGTGACACATTGGCAAGCCTTCAGGCATAGCACGAGCTCTCATGGAGGCTAGCAAGGAAGCAGGCAGAAGTGGGGGTAAAGCAGTTATGTTTGTACAGGAGTTCTGGAGCTTGATGCAAGGAAAGGGTGCTGCAGGAACTGGTAAGAGCCACATTCGTGTCAGTCATCAGCTGTAGGGCTCCCTTTGACCCCAGCTCTGCTAAAGTCTCCCAGAATGGGAGAAAAGTAAAATATTTCCTAGGTTAGAATTATCACGTGATGGTGGACCCAGTATGAAATACTGCAGGATGTCAGTTGCACAATTTTCTCTTCATTTTTGGACTTCTCATCCCACTTCAGAATTCAGATTCCCAGACAGCCTTACCAAGCTGTCTTGTGATACAAATGAATTTAAAAATGTTGTCATAACCCATTGCTCGCCAGTGCTGAGGAACGGCAACATGCAGAGCCTGAGAAGAACAGCTGTGCTAAGACTTCACTGTTGAATAAGTATTGACTACCCACCACTGTGGGGAACTTGCTTTCCCTGAACTTGGCTCGTTTTCCCCACACAGTAGGTTTTAGGCCAGATACAGGCTACCATCTGAATGTGCTTCAGCCTGAAGTGGTAGGAAGGACAGAAGTAGCTATTAAACACGATGTATGGGACCTCTGAGAACATCTTGGAGAATTTCTAAGGACTATATAACACCTTTTTTAATACTACTTTTTATAAAACTTCTGTATTTTATTGTTTTCTTCTATATGGTCAGTACCTCATTAAAAATACACATTACCTATTGCTTTCTGTCTCCAAACAGATCCCCAGCAAGATTATGCTTTCAGCATTGACCGCTGTTCCGATGTTGCAACCCACACCTTTAACATCAGAGCTGCAATGCTCCTAAGTAAGCGAATTGCTATTTTCTCACACCATAAACAGGTAATTCATGTGTGAGTGCCAGCATTAAGAAGAAAGTAAGGGTGACAACCTCCTATAAAATATGAATGGGCTTCATTTCTGAGAAATTTCAAAACCTGTGTGGGGCTACAGAAATGTCAGTTCTGTTATTCTATTATTCCTCTCCTACCCTTCATCTGTACATATGGACAGCCAACGTGGGGGCTGCTCCAGAGCTTGTCTTCACAGCTAAGTCTTCTGGGGGTAGTCTCATTGAATGAGTGAGTTACAGCACTCACACTTTCATGTCAGCAATGGCAGTTCTTACCAAAATCCCCGAGGCTGACCCTTGCAGGTAGGAGGCTGAACTAAGAGACTGCACAGAGTAAGGTGAAGCAAAGAAGCATGCTGGGGTGTGCTGGGGATTTGGAGCACTGCAGGAGTGCTAGCCTGAGGCAACAGTCATGCCATCAGCTCACCACCTGTGCTAGCCGAAATTAAACCCTCCAGCACTTGACTGATCAGCAATAAAAGGTCCAAAGCAGAACGGTATTCAAGCTAATGGGCTGGGTACACAAGTTAATATTTGACATAGCTTGACTTGTAACCCCTGCAGAGGAAAGCCACTTTCTTGCAACCCTGTTGGCCCCAAGCTCACGTAGAACCTCTACTACCAGAGTATAAATATGAAAGCACTGCTGTACGTTCCTGGTGCTGAACATAAGTTTGTGCGCCAAGTGTCTTTTAGCACTGGGGAATGCTTCCTCACATGCAAAAGGCTTCCGTCCTGTGAGATGTGCTGCTCTTTTGCTAGGGGACCATCAGTTTTCAGGTGGTTGTGAGGTTAAACAAGCCTGCAAAATCACATTACAGGCATTTGCAAATACTTTTCCAACAACTAGAGTGCAGGACCCCTCTCTAAATCCAGTAGCCTCACTGGCTGTATCTGTTAGCAAGCCAGGCACAAGCAGGCATCCTCCCAGCACTGCCAAGCTGCTCTGGTGGTACCTAGCTCAGAGCAGCCATGGTTTTCCCAGGCAGCAGGTACAGGCCACAGGCGGCTCCTGGGAGCCCACTGGATATCGTCCCTCTGCCAGAGGCAGTAGGGAAGAAAGTGCTTATGTGTATGGATGTAAGCCTTACTGTGCCAGTTGGCCTCAGGGTCAGAGAGTGTTCATGGCCATAGTTTATTTAACAATAAAGATGTATGGTGTTATGTCCCCTGTTATATACCTTAAGGGACTTAGAGACCTGTTCCTGAAGGATGGATTTCTGTGTATCAGGAGTTCTCAGTGAAAATATTCAATAGCTTAAACATCAGAGGAAAAAAAAATGAATCTTTTTAATAATCAAGTAATAAACCTGTTTACCCTTGCACTTTCTCTGAGCTCTCCTTCTGCTTTGTGTGTAGGACACAGCATCAAGGAACTGTACGTCAAGGTTGACCTGATCATAAATGGGAAGACTGTCTTAACCTACTCAGAGACGCTTTGTGAACCGGGCCATTCTAAGCTCATTTTCTGTGGAAAGAAGAAAGGAGGTAATTTAGGTAGCACTCTAAGTGTTTGATGGCTACTGAATACTCCAGGAAGGATGCACCCGCTGTGCTGCTGAACACACCAATACATTGTAATGTTCTGTTTACTTCAACAGCATGTCAATGGATGACGGAAACACAGTAGGACAGAGATGTTTTCATTTCAGAGCCTGCCTTTTTCCCTAACCTGTTTGCTTGCTTTCCATTTAATCACAGATTATCGCACACACATGTGATTTCAAGTCCATAAAAAATAACTTCCAACAACTGGCCTTTATTTTTGTCAAAAAAAGTGACTGAGCAAACAAACAAGGCATTCTGAACACATTCTTGACTATTAAGCAAGTTACACTTCCTGTCTTTAAAGGCAGTTCTTGACTCACTCTAAGAGGAAATATGCTTGCATAAGGATATTTGGACCAAGATACTATTGGAAACTATTTATAGTTTGCATCTTGTTTCTGATCCACACGTGCCCATGCAGCAGTCAGATTACTTCAGTTCATGTCAGTCAAACTGCCAACTGGTGCAGATTTGCACTAGGTGGTTTATAGTGGCATTAGGTGCCCCCAGAAAATCGGCATCTTTGGTCCCAGGTAAGCCTGGGCTCCGCAAGGTCCTATCTGCCACAGCCCAGGCCAGGTAGTGCAATGCTAGCCATGGTGTGTCCAGAAGAGCTATGGCCACGCCTTTGGACTGTAATATCTACACATCTTAAATGGTTACTTTGAGATCCCTCTTACATCAGGATCTTCTCTTTAGGCCAATTTTAAAATAACCAGGTAGAGCTGCAGGGAGGTTTCTGAGCTGTTAGAGCACCAGCTAGTTTCAGAAGCTCTGCTTTCCTTCCATTCACTTGAATCTCCATCCTGATAATGCTGCAATAATTCATGTGCAAGGACTATGAGTTTAAAGACCATGCACAGCACTACTGCTAAGACAGCCCCTATAAATTACTAAGACATTTCACACTGCATAGAAATATCAAAAGAATAATAGAAAAATGCTGCATGAGCAAACAATTATGTAAATTCTGTGAGCCAGATAACAAACCTCTAAATTCAGAGGTTTTTTTCAATTGTGTATTGAATTATAAGAGGAAAAAAAACCAAACAAACCCACCCACGGACCTAATGAAATACTATCTTACTCTGATGAAGTACTAAATAGCATCCTTTAGAGAATACATTAAGGAGAAATAGAGTCAGTCCTGAGCTGAGCACAAACAGCTCAATAATTAAGCCACAAAGCCAAAATCTCCTGGGGTTTCCAAGTCCCTTAATCTTAAGATGACAGGTGATTGTTTCTACTAATTGAAGTACATTATGATATAAAGCCATAGTTGGTTGTCTAAATAATACTATATATCTTCATTTAGAAGTATCCCTAAGTTAGTGCAAGGATCTCTGCCACACACTTTAAAATACAGACCCTCTTGTTCAGTAGCTGGTTTTATTTGGTAATTAAGTCACAGCAGGAAAGAAGTGAACTTTCTCAGACTAAGGTTCAAACTGAAAATGTGGTATTTCTTAATTAGTTGATGTTTGATTCTAACCCACGTTTTAGGACACAGAAGTGCGCTGAAAACCAATTTGAGGCAATTCAGCACAGCCATAATTTACCATATTAGTACAGCCGTAAATCTGACCTAATACCTGTGCAGAAAGGACAACATTGTGAATGGCCGAGTATGCAGCCTAGCAAAGGTACAGGGGGGCAGGTAGCCCTTTCAACTGAAGCTTTGCATGCAGAGCCCCTCTTACCCTGCGGTGCAGGCAGCATTTCCAACATCTGGCCAGATCTGACCTGAGTTTAAATACAGTTCCACACCAAATTTGCTCACCATCCACAAGGAGGACAAAAATTTCCTGTTCCTCCCTCTCCCAAAATGAGACGGAATTTAGTTCTGCGACAGGCTTTGTTGGTTCACTCACTTGTGTGGACAAGACTTATGCATAACTTATAAGAGCAGGATGTGGCAAAGTCTTGGGTGTTTGGTGGTGGCTTTTCCCCCCTTTGCTCTCCTATAATGCTACAGTTTTGCCATGGCTGGAAATATTTTAGAAGACTTAATATAGCTGGAAGTTTCACGTTCATTATAATCGTATAGTATTTACTGTTTATGTTAAGCAAAGGTCACATTTGGCACTGCTCACTGGGACTCCTAAATAGGATTCCAAGACCTTTTTCTTTGAGCTATGTGCCTGATGTGAAGTTGTTAGCTCAAAGGTTGCAAGGAAATGGGCCATTGTCCATTTAATAATAACAGCAACAACAACTGCTAAATTATTTGTGGCATAACATGAACGGAGCTCTTCCTCTTTTTTAGTAGAAAGTGCTGTTTATTCCTCATTTCCTCCAAAGAAAGTAGTTACATAAGATTTAAAAGATTTCCCAACGCAAACACTAAAATCAGAGGAAAAGACCTAGCAAGGTAATATTTAGCAATGTGCTAACCACAACTTGCAGTCTTAAACAAAACTTCCTGACAAAAGATAGCTGCATTCTCCACAAGTGTGCAAGTTTTATCTCAGCCCCAGCCAATAAAGTCACCATCAGAGAACTTGCACTATTCCGTGTGCACACTCCCAAACCATAGAGAAACCCTGCCTTGCTTCAGACCTCCACTCTTTACATGATTGCCTCTCTTGGTAGGTGTTACAGCGAGTAAGTTTCTGAAAGAGTATTCTTGAATAAAAGTAGAGAATGTGACGTGAATTACAGAACTAAGTATCCCATTGAGAGTTTAGATACATGTCTCTGAGAAACCAGCCACACCACAAAGCTACGTCTTTGGGTTGATATACAATGCCATCTTGCTTAGCCCTTTCATCTCACTTTTTCCTCCCCAGTCAAGAGAATGGATGCTTCTCACCCAGCTACGTATTTATATACATTTTTCTCACTCAACTATACATCTATAGCTGGCAGCTATTCAGATCGTTCCTGCATCCCTAAAACTCACAGAAGTTTTGAGTCAGTTGCACGGGTGCAAGATTGTGTCCTAAAAGAACTCCAACATGGAGCTTTTGAGCTCTAAAAAGATTTAAAACATCGAAAAATGAAGAGGTGGGTGCAGATGTACAGGGCCTTTATATAGTACAAGAGTGTGAGAACGTTTAAAGATTTTTCAGTGCAAGGAAGATTTGAGAAAGAGGAGTGAGAATTTCATTATAGGTGTTTTGTCAGGATTGAGAGGCATCTTCACAATAAATGGTAACTAGTAACTTGAAGTAGTCTTCAAGAAGTTCTTACTCATTTGAAAGCTCTGCTTCAGACTGGAAGCTACTAGAGGTCTGCTTACTGGCAGAGAAAATGCAATTTTATTAAATTAATTAATATTAATTAATTAAATTAAATACAATAATATCACCTCGAATCAGTGGCACATTAGGAGAGTTTTCCAGGATGCTCTACAGAAAACACCTTCAGTTAAATCCTTAGGAAAAAGGACTGAAAATAGAAGGTGGACACTGACAACAGCATGCTTGGCAGATACCATAACTTACCAGAAGACCAATAAGGACATAGGGGAATTTTTAATTGGAAAAATGCATTTGTGGTTTATGGTGTTGCCAATGTTCATACATTTTTGCAACTACATCTAGGCTTGCTCTAAGAAGGCCACAGAATTCTTTCAATGAGTGTTTCTTTCTCAGTGTTTGTGACAGTCACATGCTGCAGCACATGTGTTCATCCTCTTTCAATGGAGGAATGCAAAAATGTACGAATATATGAAGAAAAGTATATGAGTATATAAAGGATGCTGTGATAAACTACAGTCCTTAAAGCCTTGGAGGATGTTTGCACTTCTGGAATTACAGCAGAAATTCTCATGTGAGAACAACATTGAATGGGATTTGAAAAGCCTGATTCAGCCAGCTTAGGGACTGAGGAAGTTGCCATGGTCCAAAATGAATATAAGTGCTAAAAATAAGCAGATCTATGGATCCATATTATTTCCTGGCAGGTCTCAACTAGCTGAAAATGAATGCTTCCCTTGCTTTCCTATCAGGACATACTTTCAAAGCAGCATAGTCCTTCCTCTCCTACCTCCTATCATTGAAGCAAGGAAGGTCACAACAATTTTCTAGAGGCCTGGTTGAAGAACCACAGAATGGCTGAGGTTGGAAGGGACCTCTAAAGGTCATTTAGCCCAGTTCCCACCTACTCAAGCAGGGCCACCTACAACTGGTTTCCCAGGACCATGTCTAGGCAGTGTTTTTGAATATATCCAACGATGGAGACTCCACAACATCTCTGGGCAACCTCTGTCAGTGCTCAGTCGCCCTCATAGTAAAAAAAAATTCTTCCTGATGTTCAGGAGAAGCCTGCTGTGCTTCAGTTTGTGTCCACTGCCTCTTGCCCTGTCACTGGGCACCACTGGAGAGAGCCTGGCTCCATCCTCTTTATACCGTCCCCTTTGGTTACATACTGATGTGCCCTCCCTAATCTTCCTGTTCTCTAGGCTGAACAGTCCCAGCTCCCTCAGTCTCTCCTCCAGTCCCTTTTAATCGTATCAGTGGCCCTTCACGGGGCTCCCTCCAGTGGCTCCATATGATTAACAACTGCGAACCACTGCAAGACCTCTGGTTAGAAAAAGATAAATAAGGGCAATGCTGAAGCATAAAGCAGTAAATGTGGACCTCAAACTGGATACACAGCACCCAGCTCCACAGTCTGAGGCTCCCTAAAAGCTAGTACAGCCTATGAGAGTGACTTCTTGATTTACTGACCAAAGGCATCACTACCACAAATAAGCGCAATCATGGAAAACTTCTCAGAGAGGACTGAGGCAGAGAGCCCTAAGACTGCATTAATCTAGCTCTGAAGTAACCACTACTTTGTCACAGCAAAGTGGGGAAAAAATAACTTCTACCTACACTGAAGGAGAGATTAGCATTGCCATCATTTCAGAAGCAAATTTATGGTCTGATGACTCCTACTTCATTTTAAAATATGGGCTTTGCAGAGCTTGAATGTTGCATCTGCATGTTTAGATTCTGGGTGGCTTTCTGACAGCCTAGGTGAGACCCTAATAAGCCACATGATCCAAGACGAGTTTCCACGTCCCTCTGGAGAAGAACTTTGGGGAAGGGTGATTGTTCACAGCCCAGTTTCCTCTTCACTCTCCTCTGCGGCCATCCAAGATTTGCTAGGCTCAGAGTTGACTGAAGAAGACACAGTCAAACAAGGCTCTCTACTGAACAAAAGGACACACGAACCATGAGCCACACCATTGCATGGTCCACACCACCCTGAGGGGGCAGCTCAAAATATGGCTTAACACACATAGCTCAAGTCCCAAGGGAGTCACTCAACACCCAAGTCATGCAGTCTACAGAGCATTTAACTCCCATTTAGACTTCTAAGTTGTGAACTGAGAAGTGGGATGTACTGTATTTTTAAAATTCTTGAGTCACTGCTCTCCGCAGCGGAGATGTGTCAGACTCCAGGGCTCTTGCTTCGTGCACAGAAGCAAGCAATGATGGTGACTGCTCTTTGAAAAGGAAAAGACTTCTTGGTGTCCAAGTGAGCTAGCCAGGGTTGCAGAGCGGAATAAGTTTCAGAGTAACAAGCCAAAACATACTTATTCTATTCTCTGTTTTGGTATTAGGTTTTTCAGGGCAACACTGAAGTTCTGCATTTTCTCTGCCACCCAGGATCACCAGGGCACTACATTTAAACTCCTCATTAATGCAAGGGTGTAGGACATTGGTGATGTCTCACATTTCTCCTACTCTTTTCCTAGTTTATCTTATAGTCATGATTCTTTCATGTAAGTTTGTTACAAGGCATCGACTAACATTTCATAGCATGTGTGGGCAAGAGCTTCTGTGGACTCTTTTCTAAGTCAGATACCTCTACTGCATGGTGGGATGGACCATACGACAAAAAGATATTACAAACCTTTTGTTCAACCCTTCAAAAGAAACAGTTTAAACCAGCACAGTGAGACTGGACTAAAACAACTCTAGAAGTGACGGGCATCAAGATGCCAGCACATACTCATATAAATATGATGAAACACTTACTCCTCTGTCACTGTCAAAGTAAAGAATATTTCATGACACCTACCAAAGAGAATCCTTAAACAGTTCTTAGACTTTTCCACGACTTGGGGAGGGCAAGTTGTGCAAGAAATTCTGAAATACTGAAACATCTTCAAATTATATTTTCAGTCAAGCCTGCACAGTTTGGCCCAGTAAGCTATGAAAAAGTAGGAGGATCTGTGGAACAGCTTGCTAATTCTGTCCATTAATGCCAAAGTTGCCCTTTCTTCAACAGCAATGTGCAAGCGTGCCTCGCAATTAGGGAGATGAGGTTTGGGAGGTGGAACTCCTGGGCTCTACTCCAGTCACCAACACAACTTGTGATGGCTTTAGCACATCATGCAACTTCTTGGTAAACACTCCCTGAGACAGACATGTTCTTATTACTTTAAGGTCACGTTCAGCAAGCAGTCAGATGTCCACACCTACAGAAACATCTCAGATTGGTTTGTCTCTAAGTTACCAAAACAGTATAGCTCAGCTACTGCAGCTACAGGTGTTTAACACATCATGCTAAAGGACTTGTATGTGGCAGTCCCCCGCCCCTTTCATTTCCCCATTTGCAGGATGCCATGCTGACACAGGAACACCCAGCCGGCTGTGCAAAGCCATGCCCCACTCCTCCACTCAGACAGGGACTGCAGGTACTCCTTGAGCCTGGGCTCTGCCCTGCCTTCCCCATAAGGCAGTACTCATCCTGGGATGTCTCTCAGGAGGGCTGCTGCAAGACTCTGTGTAGAGCACTTTGCAGTTCCATAACACTTGTCACTGGAGCACTTTGAAGTGCTATTACAAAAAAAGCATCTACAATCAGCTGCTTGTTTCCTTTATGTGCTGCATGTCTAACCAGCCATCACCATTTTTGGTTTTCAGAGCACCTCTACTATGAGGGACCAGTCACACTGGGAATCAAAGAAATCCCACAGGTAAGTTGGTCACAGCTGTGCTCCCAAGCAGAAGAGCTTTCTGGATGAGGTATGCTCAAAGGACTACCAGCAATCACATCAGTATATTCCAAGCTCCCCCAGCTGGCACACTGGATCTGGTTGTGTTTACATGACTAATCCTTTTCAGTATGAAATTAAGTGGCTTTGCTTAAAGCATTAGAGCACCACTATTACCCAGAGACAGATAGCTTTTCTAAGGATAGCAGATCTCCTCTACCAGCACTAAGTCATGCAATCATACAGTTCTTTAGTAGGCTTCCCCTCTATTACTCTTAAAATGGAAACAAAAAAAGCAGCTCCAAGAGATCAAGGCTGCAATTCAGCTTGCTCCTTAGTGGGCTGAAAATCTGAAGAAACTTATTCACCCTCACTGGCTATAAAGGCAATTTAGATAACTATGTTATGTGTTCTGCTGCATATATTATGGTGTTTGATACTGAAAGTACAAGTTATTGGGCCAAGAACACTTTTCTGGACTTACAGAGCCTTAAAATAAAAAAAATAATTTCTTAAAATGGTAAGAAGACAGGCAGTATGCTAGGCACTGCTCTGAATTTCCTGGTCATCCACTACAGATGCTCTTCACAAGCAGCCTTCTCCACACTCTGCTAAGTCTTCTTAAGGAGGTCTCAAATGCTCAATCTCAAATGCTGAGCACACCACAGTGCTACCACACACTTAACTGGTCACAACATGAAGCTATATGTGACCAGTACATAACAAAGAACTTTTAGCCACATACATGAAAAGACTGGATTTAAGGGGAGAAGGCAAGATCTGGATCATCAAAGCATCTGTTTGAGAATGTGGTGAAGAAGGGATCATGGTCACCACTGCAAAAGCACATGGTTAAGGTGGTCAGTCAAACACTCCTTAGATTTACTCATCTAGAGAAGCACACCATGAGCTCTCAGTTCTTCAACAGTGGAGATAACACAGATGTCACAGCCTCAAAAATGAGGTCTGGGGTCTGCTCAGCACTGCCTTGGTCCAGGTGCAGGAAAAGGAGAAGATAGGATCAGAACAGGGATACAGAACAAGGACGAGTCCAGGAGAGCCAGGCTTGCCAAGACCTGCAGAGGTGATAACAAGGATAGCTGGCTTTTGGGGGGATCGAGCCTCCGTAACAGCCACCATCTCGTATGTCTCAGTCTTCCTTTGGTGATAGCAGCAACCAAAACTTTCATTTTCCAAGGCTTTCACACAGGGAGCCGGGCCCACTTATGCCGTTAATCCCACCTTACCAGCCTGCTTCCCTGAAGGCTATGGCTAAAGATGCTGTGTTGAGCAATGCCTTTTGTTTTGTGCCACTGGAGTGTCCAAGCTCATCTCAGTCAGCATCCTGCTCCAGGAGCAGCTTTATGAACCTACTGAGGACACTTCTGTGGTAAAGGCTCCAGACAAACTGAAGAATAGGTATTAAGACCAAGAAGAAGCCCTAGTAACATCCACACAGACCAGTAAAAATCTGGTTCTGGCCTAATTAGATTAATTCGGAGCAAAAAAATAAGACTGTTCTCAATCCTCTTTTAAAAAGAGCTTTTACCCATGAGCAAAAAATTATTCTGGACAAGGAAAAAAAAATCTAATCATTAATGAGCAACAGAAATGAATTATTATAAACTGCCTTCCATGAATGAAGCTATTAGCTTTTGGAGAAATAACGTGCTTGTGAGACAGGGAATAGGAAGCCTTTTTTGTTAATTAGTCAATCGGGCAAAAACCATCCTTCCACGCTGGCAAGAAGGAGTTATTCCATGCAGCAATCCTCTTATGCTCATTACAAAGAACAGCCTCATCTGGGCAGCCCGAAGGACATTTGTGCAGCCTGCACAGCGATTACAACAAGGCTGTGTTCTCATGAGCACGTTGCCATTGGGCCACTCTCTCTAAATTTGGATGTTACACTTAGCTTGAACCTCTCTCTGAGAACACAGACCACTTATTGCTGTAGAAATCCCGTAATTGCCAAGAAGCCTGACTCATTCTAGCTGTGCCTCCTTCTACTCCACAACCAGGAAAGTCCTGAGCAGGGCAAGAGCTTTCTGTGGTACAAAGTCAGGAGCCTGCTGCCACCAAGATCTCCTACCCCAGGTTTTGCTCTCCTCCGCACTCCAGAAAAAAAAACCAGAAAGAAATACTGCACTGTCAGGAATCTAGAGTGAATGAAGTCTAGTTCATCTCTTCCTCCAAATCTATTCACTGAGCCTGGTCACCTCCCCTGCCCAGTGCTTCTCCTTCTCCAAGTGTCTGGAGAGAGCAGTTTTGACCAATAAAGAAAGCCACGGCCTTAAGGTTGTGATTTGTTGCACTGCAATGACACAAAATCTCCCCAAACCCTGAATTATTAGTTGCTTTTACTACACAATTTGAAATTAAACAACCTCTTGTTTTATTATATATGAATTCATCATAGATTGAGTCATCTATACACACACATCCCCCAAGGTACTCTCTTTTATAAAAATTCGTATCAATAACATTGTACACGTTGAACAACAAGATCCAAGGAAGAGAAGTGCCAGAAAACTGAGCACCTCTTCCCCTTCCAGTTACTAAACAGCACAGGGCCTACTGTGTATTTACTGCTATGTATTTTCTTATGAGAAACACGAGAAGTTACACAGATTTGAAAGGAATTTTTTATGCATCAAAACATTTGGTTCCCCTTGTTTTAATTTTGAACTTGTGCTGTCAGCATTGATATCCCTGATGAGAGTATTTTGGCAGAAAATACGGACAAGTCCTTCACCAGTTCTGAACCATTTGGACAGGAAAGGTTTTGGAGGAACTTGATGGGAAAGGTGTTATTCTAGAAAGAGGACTCCTTCACAAAAACAGAAGCAGTTCTACACATACTACTGATGGGCTAATCTCTTGCTTTGTGTTTGTCTCATACAGGGAGATTACACCATTTCAGCAAAGCTGACTAACGAAGACCACGTCTCTGTTGCTTGTGCTGATTTCACTGTGAAAAATTATTTAGAGTATTACTAGCAACAAACCAATTTCATGAAAGTTACAGATTACCAAAGCTGTTCAAGCCAAATAAGCTGCTCGTATGCTACAATCATTCTGAAGGAAATAATTCCCACATGGTGATTCCTCTTTATAACTCACTATTTTCAAGAAGTCACTAGACCCTCTAGTGGTAATTTTATCTCTAAATGCACACCGTAGCCCACTTTTTGCTTCTAATATATACAGCTGCAAGTAGAAAGTATTTGATAACAACATTCTCATCTTAGGATGAAAATAGCATGAGGCAGAACAGGCGAGAGCCTAATTTCTTTTTTTTTTTTTCAGGAAGTTACAGAGGTATCCATTTCTAACACAGGCTAAAGACGACTTTCATATGTTTCACATATTATGCAGTTACAGCACTCAACATTTTCAGTGTTCCCTAGGGCCTGCCTGGAGCCTCCACTAGTATAGATTTTGTTATAACCACAGAACAAAGACCAAATAGGATGAACATTCCTTTTTTTCCAGTGATCCATGTCCTGTCACTGGATTCATATCACTTGAGTCTTCCGAAGTTTACCAGGAACTTTTTGTTCTTTCATATTTTTAAGTGATACGTGAATCACTCTGTACCTAAACTTTGTGCTCTTCTTGCTTCTCAATAAATTCATAATGAAAGGATATTTTTTTTCACTTTTCCTCATGATCTATCCAAAGCTTAAAGTGGGGAAAAAGAGGGAGGGGAAAAAAAGACTGAGGGACACAAGTCAAATGAGCACCTTTTTTCCCACATGAAATATCAATCATGTTGACACATATTTTATGTTAGCAGAGAACAAACTGTTCCTTGCTTTGAGCATGAAGCCCCAGGAGAAGTAAACACAAATTACATCCCAGGTGCAGCACCCTCTCATATGCAGCTGGCATAGCTGATGGGTAAGTAGATAACCAAGCACAGGACAGCACATGGGATTAGGATCTTAAATTGGAGGGTGCAGAGATCTGTTTGGGAGACTCAGAGTGTAGGGGAAGGATCAAGAGTAGAGCTGAGTTCTGATTTGGAAAGGTATGGGCAAGAATCAGAGCCACAGGTGGGTCCTGGAGCTGAGCATAGGCTTATGAAGGATGGTAACGAGCACTGGGCTGCATGCCTCATCTTGGAGAGGGCCAGCATGTAGAGCCAGGGCAGCTATGGCTCACAGCTGGCCATACAGGGCCTCTGACACACAGCCTCCATCCTACACACCCACATGCTGCAGCTCAAACATTCCTCAGCAGCAAGAGCATCCCTGCTGCACAGATGACCAATGCCGCAGAGCAGCCAACAGCTGGCGGCAAGGGAGAGTCCCTCGTTTCCCTCCAATGCGGTGAAATTCTCACCTGCCCTCCCAGCAAAGGGTAGCAAGTCTTTGAGGCCTGACTCGCATTAGGGAGGCTCACCACTACTGAACATGAACCAGCAGGCACCACAACATGGGATAGAGCACATTTAATATGCTGTGGTTTCAGCCCATTCCTATTCCATCTTGATTTGGAGAATAAAAAAGAAATAAGAAGAAAGAAGGCCAGTGGGGTGGCTCACATCTTTGGTCACCACTCCCCATATCAGGGTTCAACTCTAAAGCACTGATGCTGTTTTGGAAGCAGTTCATCCAAGCCACCACTGCTGCTGTGTTTTAGGTCTTCATAAATAAAAAAAAAAGGCTATCACAATACAGACACAAGCTCAGGGTTTTTTCTCCTCATGTCAGTAGCTCTTTAGAGTCACCCCTCTCCCCACGATCCCCATAAGATATCAGAAGCACCAGACCTTGAGGAGAAGCTAACAAAACTGCATTCGGCAGCAGCACTCACACAAGAGTCCACTTGCTCAGCTCCTTTCCACCACAACCACACCACAAAAGTGTGACTAAAACTCAAATTCCTGCCACCAAGATTCTTGGTTTGTTATCTGATGAAAGACTGAGCAGATGAAAAACAAACCTAGTGCTAGTTTAAGCACTTCTACTTGAAACTGATTCCATAATAGCCAAGATCCTCTCCCCCAAATTCACTAAGTTCCTTACACCCTGGGGCACACCTGGAAGGGACACCAGGTCCACAACAGCAAATAAGCCAGCTTTCACCTCCACATGATGCAGGGGCTTCCCTGGAGCATCTGTAGCAGAAGCTGCTGCAGGAGGTCTCAGCTGCCCAAATTCAAACTCTAAAGTATCTGACTTCTGGCCCTCAAGATCTTCCATCACTGACCCTTCACTGCCCAGCTCACACACAGACATTGCAGGGCCTTGCCCCCAGCACCATCTGAGCAACATTTGACTTCCTACCACAAAAACTGCTTGCCCTTTTTCTCTTGGAATTAAGCTGAAGAACCAAGACTAAATCTTAAACCCGCACTTAAACTGGAGCTTTCTCCATAACAGGAGATAGGTACGTTTGCCATACCACAGAGCCATGGAGCAAGCTTGTGTAAAAATCCTTCAGGGCTTAGCAGTTCAAGGCCTCAGCTGCTCTCTATATTAAAAAGGGCTCTGCCCCTTCAGCCTAAGATGTGCCTTGGTTTCTTCCTTGAATTCCTGTTTCTAATCAGACACTACTGTGCATGGTTAAGCAACAGAATCAGGGCTCATCTTCATTGATCGCAGCACAGCTAACGAATCCCTTGCTGTCCCAGAAGGTCTGAGGTGTACTGACACTATCACACCAGAATTGAAATACATTTGGCAGCTACTGCTGATCCCTTTCTGAAATGGCCTCAAAAAGTTTAGTAAGGGCACTCTAGCAACATCCAGGCTCTGAACATAGCTCAGCTGTGCAAGGGTGAGAGCAATATCTTCCAGGGATTTGCAGCCTGAGCAAGGAGGCAGTCTGGTTTTGCCGAAACAAGGATCTGCACATTTCCAGCCAGCTCTCCTTGAGGTCAGGGGGATGAGGCACAAGTGCACCCCATGGCCCTTGCTGGAAAGACTGCCCAAACTGGAAGTATCTTTATGCTGTTACTTCTGTTATGTCGAAAGGTGATGCTTTTTCCATAGAGAGCCACTGTTTAAATTTCTCACACACCATCTTCTACACTCTCCAGCACAGCTCTAAAATAATCCCAGAGCAGCTTCATTTTATTCTTTTGATAGTGATCTGCAGCATAAGAAAGAGGAGCAAGGGGAATAGGACATCTAAAGGGTATTATTACTCTAACAAAAATTGGGGTTTTTTTGTTCCAGAGGACACTAGGAAGGTAAAGCATGAAGCTATATCTTCACCCACAGCTCTCATGCAATGGACTATGATGAAGAATATGCCTGGACTATAGACCCCAGTCACTTTAGTGGATTATTCTGAACTAACCTTCCCAGGACTGACAAATGCCTCAGTGAGACAGACCGAACGGGAGTCTGGTCCCCAGGAGCTACCACAAGGCTCAGACAAACACAACGATCATTGTAGTACAAATACACTCAATAATCAGTTAAAGCTGATATAAAACAGCTACTACAACGTTTCTACAAAATCATGCACAGCCTAGTCACAGACACTTCCGTATCTCTGCAAAGTCCAAGATAGCCAGACACAAAGAGTGCCCACCACTGCTTTACACCAGCACATCGCTGGATCATCATGAAGGTCTGCCCACAAATAGAGATCTCACCTACCCAGCCTCGTTACATGGCTGTGCAGTGCAGAGACCCTTGTTTCTGTGCCACAGCAGGATGGGGCTCCCCTGGAGGCAGGGATAGTCTGTGGTTCTTCAGCACTGCCCTGACCCAGTGAGGAGAGCCACAGTATCAGCAGGTACGTTCAAGCTCAGCTCCTCACTTACCTCTCAGACCTTTATAGTGTAAACACATTAGGAGCTGGCCTTAAACTGGATCTGAACTCAAGTACACTGGCATCTACAATAATCTCTGCAATGGAGTACAAAAAACAAATTGCAGAAGGGACAAAAATGGTGAGAAAAACAACCACAGAAAGTCAAAAATAAAGCTGCCTTTGTTCTGCTCTTAAAATATAAAGTGAGATGCAAGGTGTTTGCATAGGAAGATCCTGCTTATGAGGTCTTGAAACTTCCTCCTCCCGTGCTCCTTGCCCATGTTACCTCCTCCCAGAAGCTCTTTAATATTTCCCCCACAGGTGACACAGAGCAAGAACACCACATTCACCAAGTGAGCCCCTCACTAGACACCAACCATGGAGCCTGAAAGGACCACAGAAGAGCAATTCATTTCAGACAGGAGACTCATTGCCAAGAGCACTTCAAGCATCTCTAGTCGGGAGAGAAGAGGGAAACCCTGAACAAAGAGATCGATAAAGAAGAGGCTCCCGAAGGGCCCAGCCTTAAGCTCAGGATGATCTCTGCCTGCAGGGTATTTTGTTGATAAGGGTTGCAGAGCTACTCAGTCTGCCAGGCACAAGCCTGCAAGATGGTGAAGCCTTCCCTGTTGGCCCTGTGATAATGCCTGTACTATCCAGTTATACAATAAGCCTTAGGTTGTTTACCTACACGAGGCAGTGGCTAGCAAAGCTAAAATAAGCTAGTGTTGTCTCAGACTGCAGTAAAGCAGCCTCACACATACTTTCCTTCTCCCTAGCAATACTTTTCTTCTTCCACTCAGCTGCACAGAGGACACTGATGCCACCAATGCCAGAGCAGGGCACCCCCAGACCAAGCAGGGAATAACTTTAAAAAGGTTCAAACTCCAACCGCTTTGATCAGGAGAGTGGCTCCACCAGAGCCAAAATAAATGTTTGCCGATAATCCCACACCCGCTGTTTGCTTGTGTGGCTCCCACTTTATTAGCTTTCCTATGCTAAGTTTTACAGCTGGGGTTAGCAGAGTGATAAAATGCATGGATTATTCTTCACTGTTGCCAGTTTGCTTCTCCCCAGTTCAATGCAGCTTTACCTTGAACAGCCAAATACTTTGATCCAGGATGCTCTCTTGCCCCTTGCAAAACTTCATCTCCTTCTACCACCTGACAAACAACAGTTTGGAAAACAACAGGCTGCTCCAGGGCAGGAGGAGAGTAAGGCATAATCAGGCTTCCCTACTGAATGCTTGAGATGCTCTTTACTAGAGCACCCAAATCAAAGACCCTCCTCACTTGTTGCACCACTGTGCTGACAGTGATTTACCCTCTCCTCCCTCCCAGCAGTGGACCCTCAGGTGCTGAAACAGAAGTGACTACA